GGCTCCTACCGCTGTCATAAGATGTTGAGAGGAGTCCTTAGATGGACTTGGTGCCTGGTAGTTGACAACATTAAGCATCATTTTCTCCAATGGTAAGAACTTAAGATGGGGTTAATTGCGAGGAAAAATCTACCAACAATGACTTGCTGTCGCAATTAGCATTTTAGCAAGTTGAGGAATAGCTTTAATTGACTTACAATTAGAAGTATACACAAGTTCTATGCTAAGGAAAAAAAGAAATCTACAGACTATCGCACTAGAGCTTTCGGCTTTGTATTTTGTTTCTTATGAATTCATTTAACATTTTCTTGCAGCTCAATTATTCAATATTAGATCGAACAATCGACTATAAGAGCGATGGTAGTCGGTGCGCGAAGGAACACTGTCTTCTTTCCTGCTACCTTTCTATCTCTGTTTGTAACATCATTGCTTCTGACTAATGGTGAAGCTTTTGGTTATCCATCAATTGTGAAGCCTCCAGCCTCTTGGACTAACGTCGTCTCAACTGACTTTAGCTATTGGGAATCAGCAGGGGTGAGACCTATCTTGGTCAATGGTAATTTTGTTTGTGGCTTCCACTGCAAATTTGAAGGAACCGCCTGCCTCTTTGCGATATCCATCTTCCCATCCAGTTTTGGTGGCAACTCCAGCTTTTCTCCACAAATGGTATGGCCTGCTAATCGAAATAATCCGATTGGACTTTGGGCAAAATTGGAACTTTCTCAAGAAGGGGATTTAACATTGCAAGATGCTGATAGCACTCCGGTTTGGTCAACAAAAATGGCAGATAAATCTGTTTTGGGATTGAAGTTAACCCATGAGGGTAACCTTGTGCTGTTTGATAGAAACGGTGAAACGGTTTGGCAGTCTTTTGATCATCCGACAGACTCTTTGGTTATTGGGCAGAGGCTAGTTTCTGGACAAAAATTAGTGGCAAGTATTTCAGCCACAAATTGGAGTGAGGGTTTATATTCGTTTTCAATTGATGATGATGGTTTTGTAGCTTCTGCGGAGTCAGATGTTACCATAGCCTATTACCGATTCTTTATGTATCCAACAAGAAGCCAAACGGGGCAGTTTTATGCTGAGCTCACGAAAATAAGTTTTGGTCTCATTTTTCCAGGATCCGGAGTAAGTTTCATACAGTTAGGCTGTGATGGGCACTTGAGGTCCTTCGGGTGGGTAGAATCAAACTGGAAGGGAGTCAAGGATTTCATTGGGGATCAACTCAATCGATGTGATTACCCACTGGCCTGCGGAAGATATGGAATTTGTCTAGAAGAAGGATGTAGTTGCCCAGAACCGGTTGAAAAAAATGGACCTATGTATTTCAAGCAGATAAATCCTTCACAGTCAAATCTTGGGTGTTATCCAGATAATCCAATATCTTGTGAGTCTCCTCAATGGCAGAGGCTTCTTGAGCTGAAGGATATAGATAACCCTGGTCTGTCAATTTTGAACTCTCTTGCTAATATCCCAACAGACGTAGAGGGCTGCAAGAGAGCCTGTTTAAAGAACTGTTCTTGCATTTATGCTGTTTTTCAACCTTTTGTTAAAAATTACTCAGACTGTGGCTACTGCTTCTTAGATTTGAAGCTTTGTCATTCAAGAGAGCGCCTGCATATTTAAGTCAATCTCTGTTTTTAAAGGTGCAGAGTTCTCTAATTCCACAAGCGAATCATTTGTCACCGGCTCAAATTCCACGAAGAAAGAAAAGACAGAATGTAGGAGTTGTAGTTGGATCCACTCTTGGAGTCACTTTTAGTGTGCTTCTTATCTGCACCTTTTTTTCACTTCAAATTAATAACAATGCAAAGGATGTTGAGGAGGATTATCTGGGCCACATATCAGGAGCGCCCATGAGATTCTCTTACGAAGAGTTACGGGTTGCAACCAACAACTTTAGCAACAAGCTCGGAGAAGGAGGGTTCGGTTCTGTTTTTCAAGGAACATTACCTTCTGGTGTTCAAATTGCAGTGAAATGCCTCGATGGTTTTGGTCCTGCAAAGAAGTCATTTATAGCTGAGGTTGAGACCATAGGAAGCATTCACCATTTCAATTTAGTACGACTAGTTGGGTTTTGTGCTGAGAAATTGCGTATGCTTTTGGTTTATGAGTACATGTGTAACGGATCGTTGGATCAATGGATCTTCTGCAGAGACAAAGCGCTTGTTCTTGGTTGGCAATGTAGAAGGAAGAGCATTCTAGACATAGCCAAGGGACTAGCATATCTCCACGAAGGATGCAGGCAGAAAATAATTCACCTGGATATCAAACCCCAAAACATCCTCTTGGATGAAAATTTCAATGCCAAGGTTTCTGATTTCGGGTTGTCTAAGCTACTAGGGAGAGAGCAAAGCCAAATTGTGACAACAATGAGGGGAACACCGGGTTATATGGCCCCAGAATGGTTGAACTCGGTAATCACCGAAAAAGTAGATGCATACAGCTTTGGCATTGTTGTTTTGGAAATTTTATGTGGCAGAAAAAATGTTGATCGATCCTTGCCAGAAGAGGATACCCATTTGGTAAGCCTTTTTAAGAGAAAGGTTGAGGATGGTCAATTTCTAGATCTAGTGGATAAGTGCAATGAGGAGATGCAATCAAATGCAGCTGAGGTTGCGGAGATGATGAAAGTTGCGGCATGGTGTTTGCAAGGTGAATATGCTCGCAGGCCTTCCATGTCCATCGTGGTGAAGTTCCTAGAGGGAAAAATGGATGATGAAAACGCATATGATTTCTCAAATCCACCGGTACCAGCTGAAGTGAAAACTCTCGGACACCAAATGGATGCAACTGCAGTTTCTGCTTCTCCATTGATTCCATCTATTTTATCTGGTCCAAGGTGATGATATGGGGGAAGAGAAGACATAAGGCACGTGCTGCAATGGTAATACTTCATTTCTTTAAGCTTTCTAGCTCTGTTTTTAGTCATTTTATATTGCTCTCTGTTCCAAAGCAGAAAGTAGAATGCAAATTCCGACTATTGGCCTATCTTCCTTTCTCTGTTGGGAATCAGTATGGATGCTTTATATATTTTGTTTTTTGATGATAATATTTTATTTTTTAGAGTTTCTTATAATGCTAAAATGAATTAGTTTTAATTGAAAAAAATTGTGCCTTTTTACTTGATTAATAAAAACATTCTCAGCACATTTTATTATCACTTACTTTTCTTTTTTTTTTTCAGTGTTAACACCATCAGTTTCATTTCTTACTTCCAACTGCTGAGTAATTGAGAAAGGCTTGACCACCTACTGAGCAAGTCCAGGAGTAGAGGCTGACGCTGAAAGAATGGTCGATAGATAAGCAAAGTCCTTTCTCTGTGTGTGCGGTCATTTTCCTTTTCTTTTTCCTTTTTTTTTTTTTGTCCATTACAAATTTGTCACTTTTGTTTTAATGTAATATTATTAGTTACTTCAACTTCAAACTTGTGTTGTACCTCCAATATTTAATTTTGAGTGTCAATCTCACTTCTCGTGCCATCTTTTCAACTCCAAGTAGATTGTTTTATATGAATTTATAGTTCAACATATATTTATGGAAAAGCTTTTATTAAAAAATACCTAATAGGTACAGCTAAATAAACTCTAAAAGCATGTTTGGTATGATTGTTAAAATTTAATAAATAAAAAATAATAGATAA